TCCAGAGACTGGGCTATGCTGGCTGGTAGGGTTGCGGGGGGGACAGTGAGTTCTTAGTTCTTCTCAAAATACCTCTTTTGTGCACACACTTATTTCAAAAACAGTTCCAGTAACCCTGTAATAGCCCAGCTCTGAGATCCAGAAAACTGTGAGGCTCTTGAAGGGCACAGATGTGCAAATTTTTAAGAATGGTAGTTATGGTGAAAATCTCTCTTTTTCTTTTTCCTATAATTCTTTACTAATGGACATTTAGGGCCTCCTCCACATCTCTTACCTCAACTGCTTATATTTTATACTGAGTTTACACATGAATGGGTCAAGGTAGAAGCTGAGATGTTGTTGGAAAAAGAGGCTGCCTTCCTTCAGTCGGGGCCTGGTCACTTTCAAGGTTATTAGGAGGGAGTGGCACCTAGACTCACAGCAGAAATTCCAAAATATCTGAAAATCCTTCAACCACAAGCCCCATGACATGCCCTTTCTTCCTTTCTTATCACTGCCCACTCCCTTCAAAGCTCCATGGCTCTAGTGTCCAGTGTAACCAGTGGCTGGCTTTTACCATATCCCTTGCTTTAAAAGAAATCTCCTGTCCTGGGCTTATTCTCTTTTCTATTCCGGAATCAAGCTGGAGTGTGCATAGAGTAAAACTCAGATCTGACCATGCAGGCCTGTGGTTTGGCCGAGTAATAGGATGAAGGGAACCCAGTTCCCTGCAACCCCATCAGCCAGAATTAGAAAGAAGTTAATTTGGCAGCAGGGATCCCTCTGCTCAGTTCCCTTTTGTGCTCAACAACTGCATCCTGGTTCCTTCAGCTCTAAATATGAGGACAACTTCATCTACTTGACAGAAATGATAGTAGACATATGTGTATATATTAATAATATAATATTATGAATATATATATATATGTATATATATATATATATATATATATATATATATATATATCACTCCATGTAACCATTGCAGTAATTGTAGGAATAGACATGAGTCTTGTTTTATGGATAAGGACAACTTCAGACAGCTCAGGAGCCCATCAAGGTCAGAACTAGTAATGGCTGAGCCAGGATTCCACTGCTGCAGCTTCTTTGTCTCCGCAACCTGTCAGGAGCATGGAGCTGCCCTGGATGAGCTGAGGTGTTCTGGGCAGTAGTCAAGCATGTGCTGTGGATCTCACAAGACCAGTGAAAGACTAGAAAGTGAGTGGGACTAAATGATCTCCATTTTTTCTGAAGTCCCCCGTTCTATGATACTTTGGTGTCAGCAACATGTGCTTTTTCTAATCTGTTTTCCACCCTGAACTTTAAAAGAATAACTGAAAAAGCTCATTGTTATCAAGGAGACAATGTAGAAAAATAGGGCAAGAATAAAAAAACTGATGAGATTTCCAAGTATTCAAGAAAGGCGCAGTTTAATTTGCATATAGGCATAACTTACACCTCACTTGGCAAATGTTAGGCCACAGCACAAACTCCTCTGTCGGAATCACAAATATCAGCAGACACAATATGCTTCTCCAACTGACGTGTTTCTCCATCACACGCACACACACACACACACACACAAATAATAAAGAAATACATTTAATTTCTCTGCAAAAGAGAGCTGAGGATGGTAATCAGGTTACCTCACATTTGGAAAGCACTTTACAGTTTACATTCTAAGCCATTTTGTCCTCATGACAGCCCTGTGAGGTAGACAGCACAGAAATCACGATAAACCCCATTTTACAAATGAGGAAACTGAGGCTCAGAGAGGTGTAAACACTGGCCTAAGGTTTTCCAGCTAGTGGATGCAGATTTGGGCTAGGACTCAGGGCAGGGATGCCTCATCCAGTGCCCTTTCACAACCGGCTTTCTAATGAAAGTTGAAATGGATTGTGTGAAAGACAGTGGTTCAACATCATTAAGTAGAACTATCATTTTTCTCGAGCAGATTAGATCAGTACAATCAATCCTAATGTCGATGTCATGCTGTGTGGCACCTGAGATGAATAATTTTTGAAATCATTCAAGTGTTTACACCTAGTACAAGAAGACTGTGTCCCACTTTTACTCTGCCCTTCTTAATTTTAAGTCACCAGTGGGCACTGAGAACTGACATTTTGATTAGATTTATTACCAGGAATCATACAGTGGTGTCTGTAAACAAGTCAATATTTAAACTTACAAAATTTCTTACATAAATAAAAATGAATCTCGTTTACTGATTCCTTCTGCCAGTGGACATGTAATCTGGCCATAAACAAGAGATTATCTTTTTCTTGTATTTATTTATTTTATTTTTTCAGTACTGGAGATTGAGCCCAGGGTTTTACTCATGCAAAGCAAGTGATCACCAACAGAGCCACATCCCTAGCCCTTTTTATTTTGAGACAGGATCTCACTAAGTTACCTACACTGGGCTCAAACTTGTAGACCTCCATCCTCAGCTTCCTGAGTAGCAGGAAATACAGATGTATGTCACCACACCCAGTGTAAAGTTTTTTGCAGGTTTTAAAAAAACTTGTTCTTGAGTTCAAAATAAAGAGAGAGATTCTTTTTCAGAGGGAATAAAATGAAACTTTGAAAAGTAAGGAAATCCTTTGCTTACAAATAAAAGTTAACTTTATTAGGAATAACTTCTTTACTGCATTACTTCTTTTAGTTAAGAACTTAAAAGCTGACAACTCCTTGCTGGCCCAAGGTCTTGTCTCACAATGTGAGAGAAGAGCTGCTGATTCACCACACCTTCCAAATAGGCACATAATGGATTTTCTTTTCCAAATTATCCAGTAGCCATGAGTTTCACTTGTCTATAAGCAGTGCCCTAAGGTCCTCTGAAATTTGCCAGCAATGGAGATATTGTGAGAGCAGCTTGAAAATACTGCAAGAGCAGTTTAAAATTTCCTCTTTAAATTCCTTCACAGAAACACTAAGGAAAAGTGACAATGTTCTATTTCATGCCTGACTCTGTCAGAAAGTATATCAGCTTAGGTAAAAGACTTCTTTCTCCCTGTGGCAAAACTGCATGTCTTAGTTAATAACCAAAGGCATCCCCTAAAAACCTCAAGATGACTCTATTGACAGCATAAAATGTGAGTATTCATTTGAAAGCATGAAATTGGATTTTACTTCTGAGTTTCTGGGTTAAGTTTGTAGTATACATGTTTGTTACTTGGCTCATAGAGGCTGACCTCCTACTCCTAGAACCGGTCTCCCGGAATAGAATATAGGGGGACTGAGCCTCGCAAGCATGTGCTGTGTGCCACAATACACACAAAGCTTGGGAGGAGAGGAGGATCAAGACTTCAACAGTCAGAAGAGATGACATAAATTGCTCTGGAGAATTTCAAGTGTGACCAAATTGAGGATTTTTGTTGTTGTTGTTGTTGTGTTGTTGATTCTTATTTTAAACATGTGTTTCTATCTTAGCTGACCCACAAATAGTGCAGCTTGTCAAAGGGAACTCTCTTGGAGGTGGAGTTCTCTCTCTCTAGCTGTAGGAAATGAAACAGGAGGGCCATGTGACTCAAGATAACACTAAAGGTCAGCATTGAACTCAATAAAATGCTAAAAGTCATGTCTGACCACTGGGAGGCACTTCCAACATGCTATAGAAATTAGGCTCAAAAGTTTTGTCACTGTGAGGAAAAGCTGCATTGCAAAAGAGGAGGAGCATTGGAAACTCCTCTCATTTTTTTTTTTTTAAATAAAAATGGCAGTGCCTCTGGAACAGCTGGGTCAGAGAAACAGGGTTCAAATTTCCAAGGAAAGTGCACATGGAGGCATCCCTTCCCCTTCAGAAGGCCGTGGGACTCCAGGGCAGGGTACAACTCATTGACTTTTCCATGTGGTGCTTTGCCTGAAGCTAGGTACCGGGTATGTGCGTGGTCCTCTCATGAATTTGTCCTGGTTTTTGTTCACCTTCCAACATTTTTTTTCTTTTTGAATCAAGAAAGCTAACCTTTGCCTAGCTTTTCTTTTGCAAGAACATGAGGTGTTTGATGCAACTAACACATATTTTTTCAAACCCTCGGTTTCTGAACACTGAGAAATAAATCACAAGGTGTGCATGGTTAGAATCCAACAGCCATGCTTCTCATCATGCATCAAGATGCAGTCAATCTCTTGTCTGAAACTAAAGAGAACAAACAAGCAATTTTTTAAAAAAGAAAAAAGAAAAGTAAAGCATCCATAATGAACCCTCCTTGGGCCTAATGCTACACTGTTGGCTAATATGAGCTACAGAAAATATTTTTGGAATGGTTTTCATATATTATAAATACTTTCTTTTCCTTATTTGATATTTCACTATGTAGTATGTACAGAGATGGCCCTTACTGTGCAAAAAAAAAAAAAAAGTACCTTCTTTACTTCTATGATACGTTATCAATGCCAGCTCTTTCATGGGGTCTTAAGAGCTAACGGAAATTAGCTCTACCAAAAAATTAAAGTGCAAAGAAGAGGGAAAACAGCCAGAGAGATCAATTTTTCATTGTTAGCATCAATAAGCTTCATGCTTTCAAGAGCAAATGTCAGGTACAACAGGCTCAGGTAATAATAACTCTGTCGTGTTTTCTTTTTTCTTCTTTTAAAGCAGTAGTCTCCCTGAGAAGAGAAGAGGGAGGTAAACGATAAAATAGCCCTGTTTCCTCTACAACTGACAATCTCTATAAAACTGAGGCCACTTTCCCAGCCATGGGCAGCAGGATTAACCTCTGAAATTGGCTTTCTGCTGTGAGAGCTTTTGGGTGATTGGGCCCATTTCCCATACAGTTACAGAATTCTCACTCAGAAAGATCTCAAAATCATTTTTAAACAAAGATGGCTGGGGTGGAGAAGGACTGTCTACCAACAGCACATGGAAGTGTGGGTTTTCAAAAGAAAATCCCACAAAACAGTTTTTAAAAAATACAATCCATGCTCATAGTGAGCCTTTAAAAAAAAAAAAGGTTTGTGTAAATCAGAAGATTCCTATCATACTATCAGAAAAAAGGAAACAAGCAAACGAGGTACAAAGATGGTTTTTAGGTATATATTTTCACTTATCAATGAAACCCATTATTCCCCATAGCACTTGGTGGCCTTTGATCTTGTTCCACAGTTTTGTCGGTGAGGTGGCATGCACCTTTCTGCAAATTCTGCAGCTGCCTCTCCAAGGGGGTAGCTTCTTGGGACCACCAATCTCAGGAAGAAGCCCCCACCCTCACCCCAAGATGGCCACAGACTGAAATCCTCTGGGGCACAGCCTAATGTTTTTAATTAAGGAAATGTTACCAACAAATCCACTTGAGTTTTATCTTTTTTTTTTTCCTGTCCTGTTGCCTAAAGACTGAAAAGGCAGTTTCAGAACATACCATTCCTCAAATATAAATATTTATAATGCACTGAGAACCATGCACATGCTGTAGACTGGCACTGCTGATGTGTTGGCCCTAGAGAGGAGGCTTCGGCTTTCCTGTGAAGCTTGTAATGGAAAGAAGTGTCATGGAAGCAGTTAAATCCTAGGAAAAGATTGGCAGTTGTGCCCAGGCCAGTGAAGTGCCAGAGAAACATCACAGGTCTTTTCTGCAGGCCCTTGTCCCCAAGTTCTAACAGAACATGGGGCAGAGGGAAATTTACCTTCTTACCAGCTTCATGAAAGTGGCTACAAGCCTCTCCCATCTTACATTCCCTTACATAAAATGCACCATCAGCTTTACAGTATCAGTCTTTTCATCTTCCCACCCAGGGCTGAAGCAGCTGACTTTGACCCACACAGCTGGGGTTGGCTCAGTCCAGTTCCATCTTCTTCAGTGGAGACAGGAGACTGGCTTCACCTTTCCCCAGTCCCTGCTGCACCGTGTGAGGCATGGCATGCACAGTTCTGACTGTTCCCTTTCCATGGAAACGCCGAGGTCTCGGGGCAAGGCCAGATCTTCAAGCAGGGAGTCGAGGTTCAATTTTTAGTGACAGCTCATAAAGCGTATCTTCATCTATGATGAGGGCTTTGTCAAGCAAGTACTGTGTGACCTGAAAAAAAAAAAGACATTGCAGCTTGCATTTCTTTCAGAACACCAGTAAAGACCTTTCTGAATGGAATCTGACACATTCAGCATTTTCTCTTAAACATTTAAAATTTTTGTATTACTAAAAAATGTTGTGAATATATTCGCTTTTATTTTAATCAAACATGTCTAGTCATTTCCCACCTCTGTCCCAGGTAGCTTCCCCAAGAGGCACCACTGTTACCATTTGGCATGTATTGTCTCCCAGACGTGTTACTGTATTTTTACAGATATTACACTCACTTACAGAAACCATTTCCCTTGTTCTCATAGATGACATTATGACCTACATTGTATTCTGCTTTCCTCTCTTAATTGTAACTTATGGAGTGCTCCCATGTCAATATAGAGAGCTCTAACTGTGGTGCAGTATTGATAGTGCAATATACTAAAGTTTCTTTAATGCTCTATATCGGTAGACATTGAGTTGCTGTCTATATTTCACCATTACACAGTTACAGGAAAATCCTTATTAGCAAGCTTCCTGATGCTCATATAGGAACACTTTGCTTGGGTAGGCACCAGCAATGAAATGAAAGGAAATGACACTAGAAATAAAGATTTAGAGGGATAGGGTGTTCTCCGTGAAAATATTTTCTTATTTTTATTGAGATATACGTAAGTGATATGAAAAGTTTGATCAGTTTTGACAGTTGTATGCACCCATGTAAGTTACATACATACATACACAGAAGCTCCTCCATGCACTTCCCAATCTGCTCCAGAAGCAGCTGCTGCTCTGATTCCTATCACACATTAATTTGTCTTCCCAGGAACTTCATATAAATGGACATACAGCATAAGCTCATTTCTGTCTGGCTTACTTCACTTGAGTGTTAAGATTTGAGATTCATGCATGTTGTGGTATGTATCCGTAAATATTACTGATTGGTGAGCAGTGTGCCATTGTAGAAATATACCACAGTTCACTTACCCATTTATCTGTTGATGGACACTGGGACTGTTATGGACATTTTACATGAGTTTTTTTTTTAATGGGCATATCTTCATTTCTCCCTTGGAGAGAAATGGTTGAGTCATAATACATACTTAACATTCTAAGAAAACTCCAATGGCAGTTTTCCAAAATGGGTGGGTGATCTTACTCTCACCAGCAATGCATATAAAAGTTCCAGCTGCTCGGTGTACAAGTTTTAATTTTAAAGGATGATGTAATATGACTTTCAAAGTTACTAATCCTACCTGTTTTCCCATATCCTGACTACTGTTTATATTATCAATCTATTGAATTTTTCCTAATCTGGCAGGTGAGAATGATATTATAATTTGCAAATTTTATTGGTGAAGTTGAGCATTTTTCAAATCTTCATTGACCGTTTTTGTTTCTTCTGTGAATGAAATGCTCAGAGTTCTCAATTTTTCTACTACATTGTTTATGTTTTTCTTATATATTTATACAAATACTTTTGTTTTGTTTTATATGTTGAAAATATTATCTCCTAGTCCACTGCTGGCATTTTGACTTTGTAAGTAACTGTCCATTGTCATCCATTGTCATACGGAATGATGTTTTCATACAGTAAATTTCATGTAGTAAACTTTATCAAGCTTGTCTTTTAAAGCTTTTGCATTCTGTAAAGAATGGTCTTTCAAATCTAAAGGGCATAAATGTTGCACACTGTTTTTTATTTGAATATTTCTTTTTATATCTAAGTAAAAAACTCATCTGAAATCTAATTTTGCAAACGGTATAAGATGCAGAGTTCAAATTCCTATTCCACTTACTAAATGATCAGTTTCTTTCTGGAACTTTTGGTAAGTTTCTTCTTTATCCCATATTAGATTTTCATATTGATAAAATCTGTGTCTGGACTTCAGTCCATTAAATTTTTATTCTTATGGGAATATCATCCTGTTTTATTTACTCTATCTTTAGAATATACATTTGTATTTGGAAGAAAAAATTCTCACTTCCTGTTCTTACTTTTCACAAAGTTATCATCTTTTTTTTTTCTACTTAAGGTCCCTTATGAATTTCAGAATAAGTTGGTCAAGTTCCATGAAAAGCCATATTGAATTTATATTAAGATTTCAATGAATTTACAGATTAAATTGAGAACATTTAAATAATAGCAAGTCTTCTGATTCATAAACTTGATTTAGCTATATAATCAGTATCTCCTTCATGTACTTCAGTTCATAAAGGTCTTATACACTTCTTGTTCCACATAATCCTAAGCATAATAGATTTGTTTCTTTTTTTTTAATGAGAGTTTTATATTATATTTCATCCTGTGTTGAAAATTGTTGGCTTTCATGTTAGGTTGCTATGCTTCTTTAATCAGATTTTTCCTGGATTTTTTAGGGAGCTGATTAAATCATCTGTGAATTATAACATTTAATTTTTACTTTCAAATTTTTTATACCTTTTACTACTTTTTATTGCTTCATTGGCTTGGCTATTTTTTTCAGCTCAAAACTGAACAGGAACAGTGACAATGACAACCTTGTTTTTCATCCTGACTTGGTTTAATTCAAGAGGCATTTATTATCTACTACTGGGCAGGCACTGTGCAAGATGCTGGGGGGATACAAAACTAAACACAAGAGGCATGGCTCTGACCCTCATGGATGTTACACATATACACATAAGCAAACAAATACAGGTAAAAATGGCAACTCCAGAAGTAAGTGCTGGAAAGTAGAGGTACCTAGTGCAATAAAAGCTGAAAAGTGAGGAGCGCCTGAGAAAATGAGAGTTAATTTGTGAACAAGTTAAGTGTGCAATGCAGAAGGAAGGGCACCCCAGACAGAGATATGGAAAGCCCTTTAGCAAACACATATAAAGCAAAACTTAGGGGCCTATTAAAGAGTCTGTTTCTCACTGTTGGAATGGACATTTAAAGATATGCAAACATAGGGTAGGGCTAGGATGATTCATATGTAGAATTGGAATCTTCAGTATGAAGTTGGGTGTATCTTAAAACAAATACATTTGGTTACACATGGAAGTATTTATGTGTGGACAGACATGGGTTAGAAAACACACATACATTTCTGTGTTCTGTCAGCTCGGAGCGCCTAAGAGAAATGAACCTCTGAAGTATGCGCACCAAGAGTCCATATGGTTCCTACTATCATTCTTCAATACAAGGAGTTAGAGTTTCAGGAGAAATAACTGATTCTAGCATTGGGGCGAGAAATACATAAGATCAGCCTGGAGTATCTTACAGTAGCAGCAAATTATTAAGACCTCAAAAAAGAAAAGGAAAAATAATCCCACACTGATAGGGGTTCCTAAATGAAATGCAATATGAATGAATCCTGAAACAGAGAAATTACATTAGGTAAAAAGTAAGGGAATTCTATCCTCAAAAGACTGGCAATGGAATCACCATATGACCCAGCTATCCCACTCCTTGATATTTGTCCAAAAGAACTAAAATCAGCCTACTACAGTGACACAGCCACATCAATGTTCATAGCAGCACATTTCACAATAGCCAAGTTATGAAACCAACCCAGGTGCCCTTCAACAGATGAATGGATAAAGAAAATGTGGTATATACCCAATAGAGTGTACTTGGTCATAAAGAAGAATGAAATTATGTTATTTGCTGGTAAATGGATTGAACTAGAAACTACTATGCTAACTGAAATGAGACAGACACAGAAAGTCAAAAGTCAAACGTTTTTTATCATATGTAGAATATATAGAGAAAATAAGAAATTAAAAGAAAAAAGAGGTGGATATCAAGAAAATAGAAGGACGATCAGTGGAGTAGAGGAAGTGGATAGAGGGGGCGAGAGTAGGACCAGGAAAAGAAAGGAACTGTGGAAAGAAACAGACCAAATTATGCTCTGCACATGTATGTATGTACCTCAGTGAATCCCACATTTATAAAGCACCAATTAAAAAAACAATAAATAAATAAAATAGAATAGAAGGAAGACCACTAGGTTAAAAGAAGGGGAGCCAGAGAAAAAGGTGGAGGGAAAAAAATTAAGTACCGTGGCATTAAAATGAAGCAAATTATATTACGTGCATGTATGAATATGTCAAAATGAACCACACTATAATGTATAATTATAAAGCCCTAATAAAAATATTTTAAAAAGTAAAGGAATCTGAATAAACTATGATCTTCAGTTAATAATCATGTATCAATATTGGTTCATCAATTCTAACAAATGTACTATATTAATGATATTAATGTTAAGATGTTAATGATAGAGAATTATGACTGGTGAGGTAGGTAGAAATTTTTGTATTACTTTCTCAATTGGGATATCAGATAGCTAAAACTCTCTTGAAAAAGAGCCTTTTTTGAAATTTGTAGATGGACACAATACCTTTATTTTATTTATTTATTTTTAAGTGGTGCTGAGGATCAAACTCAGTGCCTCATGAAGGCTAGGCAAGTGCTCTATCACTGAGCTACAACTGCAGCCCCTAAAGATAATCTTTCAAAAAAAAAGAAAAAGAACAGTTGTGGTTGAAATGGAGAGAGAAGTGGGTGTGTCATGCGAAAAGAATCAAGAAAAGCCAGGGCCATGTAAAGCAAGACTTCTTAGTAATGTTAGGAATTTTCCTTTTTTTTTTTTTTTTCCAATCCTAAGAGTAATGGGAAAACAATGAAATGTTTTGTGTGGGGCAGGGGGCATAAGCCACTTTGTATTTCAGAGAGCTGTAATTTGCAATACAGATTTTGCATTCTAGAGTGCTTGGAGGGCTAGGGATGTAGCTCAGAGGTATAGCACTTGTTTAGTATGTGAGGCCCTGGTTTGATCCCCAGTCGCGCACACATACACACACACACACACACACACATACTCACACACACACACACACACACACAAGTAGAATGTTTGGTGTGAGAAATAGAAGAAGAGGGGAAGATTCACATGAAATACAGGATGTAAAAATCAACAGAACTTTGATGAGAGCTGATGTTCTTTGTGCCTTCCTTTATTTATTTATTTTTTCTTTCAGGCTTATTGAAGATTTTCTAGTTTATTGGTCCTTTCCATGAGTCAGTCTTGGTATAACTGATCAACTCTATCGTTGTTTTCTAATTCATTAATTGCCACTTTTTTTCTTTCTTAATTCCCTCACAACGGCAGTGTTTTACCTTTGGTTGATGGTCTATTCGGTAGGCAGTCTGCTGGAACTGTCGTATCTCTCGGATAATGTGTGATATCTAACAGGAGGAGAGAAAAACAGCAACAGTAACAGAAGCAGAACAAAGTTATTTCCCTGCAGCACAAAGCACTCTTCTGGGGCTTCTTCCCAAGGGCCCTTCCTCCAGTAGGTAAAGCCCATTTGATGATTTTCTATGCGTGGGATTTTCTTATCCTAGGAACTGTATGAGATTCCAACAGCAAGAAGATACTGAATCCAAAACTGGAGGAGCAGCTGGCACCAGGTGGCCACAAGTTTGGGAGAGGGACATGTTGGATACTACTGCCCATGGGCTCCTTGCTTCTAACTTGGTGCTCAGAATCTGATTGTCTAACAAGAAGCCTTCAGCATCTGCCTACCATGGGTCAGTCTTATAAAGTCATCCTTGAAATTGTATTCCTCATCCCCTTGACCCAGATAGCAGATATTTGCTGTTGGCTAAAAATCTCAATTAGCCAACAGCAAATATTAGTCCTAGTCTCCCCACCTCTTCTCCCTTGAGATTAAAAAGCAAACATTGACTTTGTTACAAAGCTTCTACTCTGTAAGCCACTAGAGTCATAAACACAAGCCAGTTATGAAATTGTCACCTACCATTCTCATTTTGGAAAAATTGACAAGGCCTTCTTCGGTAAAGTTGGGTGTTCCTTCTTCAATAAATGCCAAGTCTGTCAAGTACATTCCAAGGTAAGGAACTGCTGGGGGGTTACAACTGCAAGACCAAGAAGTATTTGTTCTCACACTCATTTGCATGAATATCCATTTCCCTCCCCAATTTAAACAGGAAGCAAATAAGCTGCTTCCATCCTGAAGAACAAAGACTTTTTATTGCATTGTCAGATGCACACTCATGATACGCACATTTTAAACAAATTTCACAATAGAATACAATACAAAATTACAGCCCATGCTTTACAAATGTGAGACAATGGCATATCCCAACAACAGGATGACTTAGGGACAAATATAAGATGTTTGCTAGCAGGAACTGTTTGCAGTACTTGTAAGTTGTCCATACTTCTTGGAGGGGCAGAAGCATGTGGGAAAACAAACCCCTTTGCTCTCACCTTCCTAGTGGATGAACACCACAAAGAAAATCATTGTGATCAAAGTCTCACACTATAGTAAACTTGTTCTCTGTTTAAGTTAGTACTTCAATATTTTAGAAGGTAGAGACTTAACCAACAGTATAGTTACTCACTAAAGGGAGTCACCTGTTTTGTTTTTGGTGGGGAGTGGAATACTTGGTCTCCTGGAAGAGGTCTGAGGCTAAGAATACGGACTTTTGGTGAAGAACTGGGCTTTGATCCTAGCTGACCAGTTACTCAGTGACAGTGGGCAAACTCTCTGAACTGTAGTGCCCTCATCTGTAAGATGAAGACAGAAAAGCTTACCTCTTAAATTTGTTGTGAGATTTAAATAAGATGCATCAAGGGGCTGGGGCTGTAGCTCAGTGGTAGAGCACTTGCTTAGTATGTGTGAGGCACTGGGTTCAACCCTCAGCACCACATAAAAATGAAATAAATAAAATATATTGTGACTATCTATAGCTAAAAAATATTTTTTAAAAAAGATGTGTCAAGTACTCAGCATGGAGCCTGTCTTTCAGTAAACATCCAGTAAATAATTCTTATCCTATTATTGTTGCTGTTACTATTGTTGTTGTTATCACTATTACGCTTTCTTTCACTCATACCATCACAAGACTAATGTTTTTCCAGAGTGAGTCAAGTTCATGTGCTACAACTTGAGAAAACTAGTTGCAAGAGAATATATTCTATGGTGTGTGTGTGTGTGTATGTGTGTGTGTATGTGTGTGGAGAGAGAGAGAGAGAGAGAGAGAGAGAGAGAGAGAGAGAGAGAGAGAGAGAGAGAGAGATCCAGAAATAAAGGGCCAAAAATAAATAACAATAATCACATGTGCTGGAATATTTAAATTTTAAAAAAATCACAGGAAATCGTTGTACTTAGATTAGAAAATACTGACTCAAGAAACTTTTTACAGTAACATTTTCTTCTTACTTGGAACAATCTGCATACCATGAGTACATCTGTAAGATCCTCACTATATTCACAGTGTTCCAAGTGAAAAGGAAAAATCCAAAATACTAAAGACAATGGAAGTCATTTTCTGTTTGCTTTTCTCTTCCAGCAATGAAGGAGGTGGGTCACCACTCATAAACTTTTAGAAATTAGGTAAACATATTTATAAATTGTGAATGACTTAAGATAGACATACTTTTTAAGGGTTTCTCTGAGATTTTTAAATCTTCCTTCAGATGAAACCGTCTTCTGAAGTTTGTCCATTAGAGCTTTCGTCTAAAACAAAAAGAAAAAACTTAGTTTGTCATGAGAATCTCATGGCTTCATAAGATACTGTTTTTAGTCAGCCTTTTCACTTCCGTGACCAAAATACCTGAGAACAATTTTAGAGGAGGAAAAGTTTATTTGGGGGCTCACAGTTTCAGAGGTCTCAGTCCATAGATGGCTGACTCCACTCCTTAGGGCCCAAAGTGAGGCAGAACATCATGACAGAACAGTGTGGCAGAGGAAGGCAGCTCAGGACATCACACCGGGAGCAGAGAGAGAGAGACTCCCCTCACCATGGACAAAATACAAACCCCCAATGGGCCCTCAATGACTCACCTCCTCTAGCCACACCCTACCTGTATAGTTACTGCTTACTTAATCCCTATTAGCAGATTAATGCATTGACTAGGTTAGGGCTCTCTTAACCCAATTATTTCACCTCTAAACTTTCTTGCATTGTCTCACACATGAGCTTTTGGGAGACACCTAATATTTAAACCACAACAGATAGTGAGCTGCCAGCTCTCTTCTACAGAGGCAGGTGCTGAAACCTTCACCAGAACAAAGGTCATCATGTGATATGATTTCAATGCAGAGGCAGGGCACAATGTTGGCATGATTAAAAGAAAAAAGAACAACTTGGGGAGAAGAGAAAGTGCTTCTCTGCACACATTTAGCCATAAAGAAAGAAAAGTGTTTAGAAAAGAAAAATTGTAATGCACAGAAAATTAAAGAACTTGAAGAACTGGAAAAGCATGTGTAGAACATAGAATATTAAAGGAAAGGTCTCATGTCAGGGAGTTTTCACACGAATCTTTTTTGTATTAATCTCTAAACGATCAAAGTGCATATTTGGTTGCTTTGGCATTGACTGAGCAATATCTTCTGCTCTAAATTCTTTGTTTTATGATAATTATCATCAATTTGTTAAAAAAAAGTATAACAGACATTTACTAAGAAAGCATATGGTTGTTGATATTGGTCTGGAGTTTCTTCCATGGTAAGGTGGCCTTTGGGGATAAGAACCTGTTTCTGGTGATACTCATACCCAGGCTGCCTTGCTGAGCCCTGATGCCTCAGATCCTACTGGGTAAAGCAACTGGCAAGCCCAAAGCAAAGCTGCTCTCCCCCTGAGCCTCAGCCTAGAAAGGAGTTGCACAGTTCCTAGTAGCTTTCAGAATAATGCCAACAGTTCCCCCATCTTGGTTTCTGAAGGCTCTGGGAGGCCTCTTTCTTGGCCCAAGGATGGCCTTAGCTCAAAGAAGTTGCAGAAGTACAGTCTGTTCCACCTCCACGTAGAGGGCTCCAGACTGCAGATTCCACCAGGCCTTCTGGATCCCCTGGACAGATCTGAAGGGACAGCTGCAGAACAGATGGTGCAACCCAATTGCCTGAAGCAGACATATCCGCAACTAGGCCCAGAGTGAGGTGCTCAGCCACAGACACAGCCTCTTGGGAGGACAGTACATCAACTCGTGCTAAGGTCACCAGGGGTGACTCACACATGTGGTTGAAATAGTGTAATCTATTTAATGCCTCCTCAGGTGTTACATCAAAATTTGAAACAGATTTAATATTAGCCTATCATCCCTATCCCTTGGTTATCCCTAAATTTGCATCCTCTCAAAGTCAACTATAGAGAAGCCTGGAAGCTATCTTAAAGTTTGGTGATTCCTTGGTGCCAGTTTCAAAGGAATAAAGAGGGAAGAGAAGGAAAAGGAAGGCTGAGGCGTGACTTACTGACCCTAATGAAGTGCTGCCAAGTGTGTGACAGGATGATACGCTCTGTTCAGCCAACACCTGATCCTTGAAGGCAAAATAGCCACTACACAGGGGTTGGTGTCCAGCTTTTGGGTTCTCACATAATTTTTTTTTCCCCTCCTTTGGTACTGAGAACTGAACTCAGGAGCACTCAACTACTGAGCCACATCCCCAGCCCTATTTTGTATTTTTCGTTTAAAGACAGGGTCTCACTGAGTTGCTTAGTGTCTCGCTGTTGCTGAGGCTAGCTTTGAACGTGCGATCCTCCTGCCTCAGCCTTCTGAGCCACTGGGATAAGTGTTTAAAGTCCACTTAAAAAATAGCATTCTGATTCCCACTAATTATAAAAACTCTCAGAAAACTAGGGAAATATGACTGCTTCCTTCATTTTATAAAAAGCATTTACAAAACAAAACAAAACACTGGATTACCAGGTTGGATGGTGAAAGACTGAAAGCTCTGCCCCCAAGATTGAGAACAAGGTAAGGATGTCCTTTCTTGACTCTCTCTAGTCAATGCATTATTAGAAGTATCAGAACAACAAGGCAAAATAAAATAAAATAAAATAAAAGGCATATAAATTAAGAAAGAAACGACTGCTCCTATTTATAAATCACATAATTGTCTATGTAAAAAATTCCAAGAAGTCTACAACAAAACCTTCTGGAACTATTAAGTGAGGTTATCATGATAGATAGAAGTCAATGTAAAAAATCAGATTATATTTCTACACACTAGCTTTCATTGAAGAGGATATACAGATGGCAAAAAAGCACATGAAAAGAAATTTAACATCATGAACCATTAAAAAGTGCACATTTTTGTCACAGTGAGCTATCAGTGTGACTAGATTTTTTTAAAAATGATAATATCAAATGCTAGCAAGAATGTAGAGAACCTGGATCACTCATACATTTCTGATAGGAGTGTAAAACAGTACAGCCACTCTGGAAAAGTTTGGCAGTTTCTTATAAAACTAAATACACACTAATCAGCAATTGCACTCTTGGACATTTATCCCAGAGAAATGAAAACTGATGTTCACACAAAACCTTTATGTGAATGTTCATAGTAGTTTTATTCATAATAGCCCTGATCTAGAAACTACCCAAGTGTCCTTCAAGGAGTGAATGGTGAAACAAAATGTGGTATATTATATCCATACCATGGAATACTACTCAGCAATAAAAGAGAATACAGTATTGATACAGGTAGTAACTTAAATGGAGCTCAAGAGAATTATGCTGAGTTAAAAAAAAAAGCAAATCTCAAAATGTCACATACTCTATGATTCCATTTATATACAGTTCTTGAAATGACAGAATTATAGAGATGGAAAGCAGATTAGTGATTGCTAAAAGTCAGGGAATGGGCCTGGAAGTAAGGTGATTATGGCTATTGAAGCATGGCACAAGAGACCTTTGTAATGGGACTACATACGCTGTATCCTGACTGGGGTTGTGGTCATGCTAATCTACCCTTGTAATAAAAGTACATAGAATAAATACCCCTCCACACACAAAGACATGAAAAGCTGGTGAGTCCTGAGTAAGATTGGTGTTCACTCATTTCCTGGTTGTGATTTTGTCTACAGATATAAAACGGTTGTCACTGGGGGAAAGTGGGAGCAATGTGTAGGACATATCTATATTATCTTACAACTGCGAGTGAAGTGACAATCATCTCCGAATAAGAAACTTTAAAAATAGTATTTTTAAACCATGGCTTTTATTTCACAAAGTCCAGCCTTTGCTCTAATAAAACAGACTTGTGAGCTCTAAGAGATCAAGATTCTCAGAGCTCTGTGCTTTTCCTAAGGAATAAGCAAGGGTGGATGAAGACTCTGACTTAGGCTTGGTGTCCAGCCATGTGGAGAAGTTGCAGAATCTCCTATATCAAAGGGAAAGGCTTGGAGAGAGAAGCCAAAACAGAGAGGAGTGAGAAATAACACTTCTCAGAGAGGGGCTTAAATCGTCAGGAAGCTTCTTTTTACACACTTAAATAATTCAGAAAACAACTCTGGACTGAAAGACCTGAGGACATCTCAGCAGAATGTAGTTATGCTCTTCTTCTAGTCTGGTTCCCTAGAGATGGCACCATGTAGATGCCCTTCACCAATGTTGGTGGACACATCCAGGTAGGTGGGGTGTTGGGGAAGGTGAGGCAGAGAGCACCTGATAAAGACCCTCCTACCCACGGGCACTAATGCAGGATGGAAGAGACTAGAAAATTCTCCCAAGGCCCTTTGGTAGTCATCTTATGAAGAATGCACACATCCAACAGGAGTCACCAAGGGGCGCCAGCCTGAGAGACAGGGGCTCACAGCATCATCTGAGTCAATGAGAGCTGAAGCAGGGCGGGATCAGCGCAGGGTGGTTCCTGGGCAGGGTGAGCAAGTACCCAGGGACCAATCAGTAAAGGACTAATAGGAAGCCAGGGGTACAGAGAACCTTCCAGAAGCCCAGAGAAGCCGTCCCAATACCTAGCAATACCCAGGCAGAAACCCAGATGAAAAAAGGCAGGGAAGAATTGTGATTTGGTTTGAATCTTGAAATTATCTGAATGAAAACAACAGGCCAGGGGCAGGTAGAACCCAATAAAAAAAATTTAAGAAAGTTATGTTTGTGCACATCTAAGTCATTTTGCCAAAACTTTAAGTCTACTACATGAATGACAAAGAAAAAGGTGAGCCCTGAGGTCTTTTGGCCCTAAGACATCTGTGTCCCTACCTTGGGGGGAAAAGAATGAATCCATTGGTCATCGCCTGAAATGAGGGTGCCCTCCTGAAATCATTGGGAAAGCAACTCTTGACTGTCACATTGTTTGAGGCTGTACCCCCACCCCAAATGTTTTAATGAATGTTTTGGAAATGCACATGAGTGGAATTAATTAAGTGGTAAGAGCACGGTAATTACCCATGTTGGCACCTTTCTTTGGCAACTATGCTGCTCATCTCAGCTAATGATTTCCTAATTAGTAATATTTATCTTGGCTCTCGTCTCCAGCCTCTCCTCCTCTCAGCAGCAGTCTGTGTCGCACTCGGATGCTCACCTGCTTGGACACCTTGGCCCAGGTTTTCTTCAGCCTGTAGATGGCACTTCTGTTTAAGGCCGAGGTGATCTCCAGCACGCCATTGTAGTTGTGCAGGCATCTGCAAATGTCCGCCACTGCCACCCACTTCTCGATGGCGTTGGCACGGGAGCTGACATCAGCGTAATTCATTATCTGGGAGGCCACCAGGTTACTCATCTGAGACAAGCAAAAAGTCAGAAAGGCTGTCTAAGAACTAGAGAAGTGCATACAGGAAAGGAGGGTGTCCTACGGTGTGGAGATCCATTCCATCTTTGGATACTGACTTTCTAAGAATGCACATGTCCAATAGGGGTCACCCTGTTTCTAAGGAAACTGATGTCTGTGTAATAATAACATTAAACTGCTGAGCATCCGGTCACCCTTAGAGCGTGCAGAAGGATTCTTTAGAATCTAGTTTGTTGGGGGGAAAAGCGATTTTATGAATCAGGGATTTTGATGAAGGAGAGAATAATCTAACTCCCGAGGAAAGGCAATGTTTGTAGACCAGGGATGTCACTCCTTGGAAACACATACTCCTCGTCCCCAGCAGCAGGATGCCTCAGATATTACAGGGAAATTAAAAACACTCACCCCTAGTCAGACCAAATTCTGAACTGATCAACTCTCCAACCAGAAACTCTTAGTTGCAGACGAAGAGAGAACATTTTCTCCTTCTTATGATTTTTTCACTGGCATTTTAAAGAGCTTATGGCCTCGGGGCTAAATATTGTCATTCTGCTAGAGAAAGCCAGCTTAAGAAGCTCAACTGTTGCAATATGGAGAGGAAAAGGGAAAAATAGGATTACTAACAAAGGGAACATGGGCTGTGGAATCTTGCATTGATACACTAAATCTGGTGGGGAACTCCATTCTTGCATGATTCCGAAGGTCTGTAAGCTCTACCAGTGCCCCAGAGTCATCACTGTGACATTCACTAAAGCACCTACTGTGGTGCAACTTATTGAGCATCTGTTCATCCTCAGAGTGGTGAGAGGGGTGGTCTGGAATCCAGTCTGCAGGGGGAACAGGTGATTTTGTTAATCAATAGTTTCGGTGAAGAAATCATTGCCAGTAATTACTGAGCAAATGGATGGAAGTAGTCTTAGGTGTAGAGAACAGAAGAAAAAGAACTAAGTGTCCCTAACTGACTCAATGTTAAGGGTTTGGTCCCTAGGGTGGTGCTATTGGACAGTGCTGTGGACCTCCAGGAGGAAGGGCCTTGTGTGAGGTCCCTAGGTTGCTGGGGGCCTACCTTAGAAAGGGATGCAGTAACCAAGCCCCTCCCTCCTCCATTCATTTGCATCCTGGCCATGGGACAGCCACTTGCTCTGACACATGCTCCCTGCCACTGCTATCTGCAATGTGCACCAGAGGTCCAAAGCAATGGGACTGCCTGACCTTGGATTACAGGCTCCAAAACTGGGAGACAAAGTAAACCTTTTTTTCATTATGAGTTAATTATCTTGAGTATTTTATTATAGAAATATCTGACTAACACACCAACCTTAAGGCACTCTGAACCTAGTTAGGTGGGATGGGAAGGGGAGGAAGATGTGTGGACAAGTAAATGCCACAAAGAGAAATGCGAAACTATGTCTAGGCATGGAGGGGACTGGGAACATGGAGATAGAATGGGGATCTGGTCTAGTTCAGGGGAGGATGCTGGAAACAGGTCATGCCTACATTGCATCTTGAAAGATGAGGATGACTATCCTCTGTTTCCCATCAAAATAGAAGAGCAAAGGGCCAGTGGTGGAAGGCATGGCATCACTGAGGACCTGGCTGCCCTCTGAGGAGCTTAGGGGGCTGGAGACACAAGGATGACAGATGGGCAGGCTCTTGCACACCAGGTTGAGGAGTTGAGACCATCTCCTGAAGGTGAGGGCAAGCCCCTCACAGATTTTGCCAAAGAGAGCAACCTAATTAGATTGACCTTTCAGAGGAGTCATTCCTAGGGCATGGCACATGGAATACATCAGGGCACAGTGACTCAGGTGGGAAGAGAGGAGCCAGAAGCTCCAGGAGCAAAAGGATGAAGTCAAATCCAGGTTGTGGCAATGGGGGAGGAGGGGTGAGGAAGGGTCTGAGACGCAGGTAGATTTAGGGCTCAGGAAGATGTTGGGGGAGATGGTAAGAGAGAGGTGAGTGAAGGAAAAGGAGACAGAGACAACCTCTAGATCCAGAGTTTGGGGGAGCAAATATATGGAGAGGCCATCAACCAACACTAAGAAGAAGCTGCAGAGATAGGCTTGGCAAGGGGGGGGTGCATATGGCGGGTTCCATCTGCACCATGCAGAGGTCATCAAGGAGGAAGAGATATGTGGGTCTGGAGCCTGAGATGCGCCTCTGATAGGAGTGTCAGGTATATTGCAGATGTATGTACAACTCAGGTAACGAAGCTTTATTTTCCATAGCTAGACCCTGCTTCTCAAAGTGACCCAGATAAGTCAGGCACCCTGCCCTTTAGCACCAGTGGCAGGGAAGCCCATTATGTGACAGCATTCCCTAAGCATCAGTGCTCTCTGAATATACCCTGTGCAGAGCGCTGCCTTGGGAATCTATACTGTTTTTGTATTAGAATTTTGGATGACTTATTAATGTACCTGTGGGGTTCCTTGTGTTTTTAAACACCATCATTATTCCTTTTACCGTAGTTCAGTGCAACTGGAAAGGAAGTTTTCCCTTTGTTTGAACAGGATGAACGACACTTCCACATCTGTTACTTCTTTTCCCACAGGACTAAAGGCTATTAGAACAGAACCAACTAAGAGTTGGTGGGCACAAAAGCCACTCCCAGTCTCACGGCTGGAGAAAGGCCGAGCTGAGAGCAGCAGCTGGCACCACTGCACAGAGCCCAGCAGCAATGTGATCGTGTTCTAAGATGGCACTTCCCATGCTGGAATGCGATTTGGGCTGAATGTTCCAAGATGATGAGGAGGAGTTACACAATCCAATCTTACTGTCACCATCACCACCAGGGGCCAGTGACACAGGCACTGCTGGTTTTGTCAGTCAATATATGATCTATCTGGAAGCTACAAGGATTACCATAAAAATAATAACAGCAACTTAAACAATATTGACTGCTTCCCATCAAAATTGAACCTGTTATGCCAGGAGATTACTAGAAATCATCACATCACTACGAGATGTTAGGGGATATTTAAGTTTGTCTTTGAAGTCCATCAGTTCTGTTTTAAAAGTCAGTGGCAGAGTTTGTTTTTAGAGAACGAGTCTGAATACCCCGGTACTCATCTTCCTGTAATGTGCCCAAGGTTTTATTTTCATGGTTACTCACATCATTAAAGTGTTGGCTGTTTTTCATAATGTAAGGTGTTCTTTCATTTTTATCCAGCTTCATCCATCCCTGCCCAAGAAACTCTCTGAAAGTTCAAAACAAAACACAAAACCAATTTAAGTTTTTTAAGAGACAATGGCTATGATCCTGCATAACTATCATGCATGTGAGATACACTACATTGACATCGCCTGCAACATTCCTTGAGGCCCACCTGCTGTTACAGACCATCTCTAATGAATTGTAGCTCAACTCCAGTATTTCACTACTCCATGACAAAAAAGAAACAGGTTTTTCAGTCTCCAGTTTTCTCTTGCAAATGTTTGGAACTTTGTTCCTGTAAAGGCTTTTCTGAAGTTGGAAAATTACCACCAACATGAGAGAAATAAAGAAGTTAAGTACTAACTCAGAAACCAACACTGTTTTCCCTGGATTAGTTTCTCAAAATGTTAAACCTTAGCAGAGGCACAAAAAATAAATAAATAAATAAATAAAATAAATCTATGACTGCCAAAAATGTTAATCAAGGACAGAACTTTTTCTTTCCCTTTGCTGTGAAATTCTCTAAAAAACACAGGTTCCAAAGGCAGGGACTTTATTTTATCCTCCCAAGAGCTAAGAGGAGCACACATTTGAGGAGCCAAATAAATGCTCCCTGTTGCCACTTTTGCAGCACAGTTGCCTGATCAAGGCAGTTCAGTTGCATGAAAGCTCAGTCTGGTTTCTGGACAGCGTCCCTGCTCATTCACTGCATTCAGGAACAATGAATGGGCAGGAATAATCAAGATGGAGCACAGGGAATTATTTTGTATGGGCATTAAAAAATAAACTCGGACACATTCCCAGTACAGAAATGTTGACTGAATCCTTGTGCAAGTTTCTTTGTCCCTTGCTGTTGTTGATACTGCTCCTGTCCTGTAGTGTTGGTTATAAAGGTGTGCCAGGCCCATGGATGGAAATAATTGGTTGACATTCACACAGAGGAGACACACCAAGAGCCACCACCAAAGTTTTGGCACTGATTATTCTCTTCCTCCACAAGTCATGTCCCCTGCCTTGATGCACTGGAGTATAGTGAAGAAGTGAGGGGGCAGCAGAGGAAGTGACCCTGTGGTTCCTACATCAGGTTTTCAGCTTGCCATCAGATTCATTTAAACAGCCAGTGAGCTACATTCCTGTTTCATTTTTATTTTTTCATATTCATGTATAGGTCTATGTACTGGAGCAGGGAGGGGTAAAAGATAGAATGCATTAAGGAAAAGTCTTTGGGACATCCATTTGCTCTTTCCTTCATGCCTCTAGCCCATCTACCCTGTCCACACCCAACCCTCGACCAGCACAGATGTCCTCTCTTCCACATACGACATGGGTCACATTCCTGGCTCTTATCATCTCCAACATAGTTACTAGTTCATGGAGCACAAGTGCCAATAGTGTCCGTTTGTTTAGACAAAGGCCTTGCTTTGGGGGATACTGAGTATGACAGCTGAAGGGGCTTCAAGAGCCTCTCCTATTCTACACAGGAGGAAACTGTTGTGTGGGTCCGTGGCCATAAGGCTCACAATACTTGTTGATTTATGGAAGTGAGAGAACTATAGCAGAATTTAAAATGTTTATTAGATCACTGTTTCTCAAAGTAGGGCCTCGGACCACTCAGATTCATATGGGATTCTCATTGAAAAGACAGTTTCCTGGATCTCAAAACAACCATCACCACCACAACAACAAGGAATGCTTCTGAAAATGACATGGTCTAGGAGGGTGATAAATACCTAGTAGAATCAGAATTAATTAATAAATAAATACCTAGTAGAATCAGAATTTCTGAGGGAAATATCTAAGAATATTCATTTTTAACAAGCTCAATGATTCTAGGCCCAAAGTCTGAGAACTGTTCTTGTAATTGTATTGAGGTTTCTGTAACTCAAGGCTAGAACACAGCAATTCACACTCTACAGTAACCCCAGTACATATAGAAACACAAGACTAACCATCTGGAGACTCCTGGAATCACTATACCCAATATAAACTGGAACCAAGATACATTCAAATGGGGCCAAATAATCTGAACCTTAAGACTCACACCTCTGCATACACACACACACACACACACACACACATCTGCCTTAGGACAATTCAGCTTCTAGGCCAGACACTGCAACTGACACTTGGTGCTGCAAGGGGTGCCACTCACTCATAAGGAATGCTTCTGAAAATGACGTGGTCTAGGAGGGTGATCTGCTCAGCCAGCTCCATGGCTGATAAGCTCTCAAAGCACTCGGCCTTTGGACAGTCAGTCTGAAAAACATGAAGGAGAGAAGTCAAACATGGGTGGGAACAAGGCACTCACCATCTCACTGTGGACAGCCCCATCTGTGGAAGTATGAAGTCCGGCACTAGATTCTAGCTAAAAAAGGAATAGCGAAGCCAACATTAATCTCACTGACCAATTGCTAGCCCCTCTGTAGAATGTGGTGCACCGCACAGAGCTTCACAGATAGACGTATGGTCAAACATGGTGATCAGCTGCAAGTGCATTGCTTATCTTTGAGAGGCAGTGTGCATATGCCTAAGTTCAATAAACTGTGGCTGAACTTACCATTTGAATTATGTCTTCTAATTTTAGGTGAATGTCATCTTGATCATCTTGTGAAAGGGCCCTAAAAAAATCAAAACATCCCCCATGAAAAAGAAGAAAATAGGCATGCTAGGAATGAAACTGTAAAATGCAGGTTAGTTTTCCCTGGGTGGGAAGTCAGGTTTGGGTCTGCAAGGCTGTGCAGTACAACAGGCTGCTGAGTGGAGGAAATGATGGCAGAAACAGAAACTGACACTTGTGAAACGTACAAGAGAAGTATTGGGAGAGGTGATCTAGAATAGGAAGCAACCAACAGAGGCCCCAGCAGCGCCACACTGGGACAGAGCATTTGGAGATTCACCACTTGGGTGGTCCATTTGAGCTACCATGAGGGGGGCCCCAGGAAGAATTTGCCATTTTCAGTGGAAAACAAGTGATGCTTATGGTTATTATGACCTTATACTTTAGGCCAACTGCTTAAGAAATAAGGACTCCTAATCTATCCATTTAACAAGATATGAAGAATGTTTTAAGAGGTGCAATCTCTGAAAAATGGATCAAACTCTTGGATTCATAGCATACTAGATATGTTGTAAATAAACTAATAACATAAAAAAAAGAATAGGAGCCAACTTGTCCTAAACAACTATCAAAGTGAACCCCGAGGTAAGTTGGGTTGGATAATTACCAGATGATTTAGGATGTGAATCCAGGCATGCTGTAATGACAGAGGAGTGTGCTATTCGCCTGAGCACCCCATCCACACTCCACCAGCACCGGCCCTGCACTCCCTGCTGGTGCTGAGGCAGGAAATGCAGAGCCCCCCCTCAACTTAGGACTTACAGGAGAGTTTCTGTTTGGCAATACTTGGAACAAGATGGGGCAAGAGCAGGCAGATGACTCTTCACTTTTACTTTCCAGATCTGTATCCCCCACACAGTGTTATTCAGCTCTCTCTACATATCTTTATTTTTGTTAGTAAATGATGAATGAGCTAATAACTAATACATAAGTTAATACCTAAGATACCAAAGTGGGTGGATACTTTATGTTCAACAGAAGTTCAGAATCAGGGCTGGGGTTGTGGCTCAGTGGTAGAGCACTTGTCCAGCATGTGTGAGGCACTGGGTTTGATCCTCAGCACCACATATAAATAAATGAGTAAATTAAAGGTCCACCAACATCTAAAAAACATTAAAAAAAAAAAAGTTCAGAATCCAGGATAATCATACCAAGTGGGCATCCAGTTCTCTAATAGGTCATCTGGGGCCAAGCATTTTCAGTTTTCCAAAATGAAAGTATAAGCACATATAAAAAGTATTAAAATATTTAAGCAGTCCCAAACCATGTAGCCTGTCTACTGGAGCATGCTAGGTTTTTTGGGAGAGGAGAGGAAAGCTTAAAAAACCACAGACACGTTATTATTTTTCAGATATGGAGTCAGAAGTCTAAACCAGGTCAAGCAAGCTGCATTCTCTCTGGAGGCCCTGGAGAAGAACCCAAGTGCTTGCTTCCAGCTTTAGAGGCTGCCTGATTTCCTTGGAAGATGCAAGTTTTAAAAGAAATAATGATGTGATATTCTGCTTGTTCATAGTTGATGGAAATAAAATCCACCAATCCTCAATTATACCAAGCCAACAGAGATGGTTTACTGTATGCCCACTACATGCCAGACACATGCCAAGTGTTTGATGTGCTACACCATAATCAATCCCTTCTAACCAGGCAGTATCTCCATTTTACAGATGAGGAAACAAAAGCCAAAGAAACTTACTGACCCAGGGTTCCAGTCCAGCTGTGTTCTCCTCTTACTCAATGATTCCCATACTCAGACTCACGGAAGGCCTCCTCCAAGCATCCCACAAAGAGGATAACCAATAAATGCCAATCCTGTCCCTCTACCTTCCTTTCCTCTTTCAAAATCCTTCACAGAGAATCCTAGATTACAAGAGTCTCAGCAATGAGCCATATATTTGTGAGCAGAAAGAATCATTGTAAAGTAAAAGGCAGACCATGAGGAAAAACTGAATTAAACATGGTTCTTTCTCCAAAAATTATTCAATTGCATTTGAAGGTTACACAGAGGAGAAGAATGTGACTCTTTCCCAAGGTACACATCATTCTTTCCACTATATGTTAGATTCTGGAGGGAGGTCTGTGGACCCACTACATGTGACAGTAGGAAAGACATTTTTATGAGCCTGGACAATCTTTCCTTTGGGAAAAAAAATGGTCAGGAAGTTACCTCCTCTCTAGTGTTGCTCTTCTCCATTATCTTATGCTGATATCTAAGACACACTTTGGTTCATTAAGCTATTTGAAATTTTCTGTCTTCCTATGGGTGCTATTTGGGATGCTAAGGTTTGGGGGTGATCTTTTCATGACCTGAGCTTATCATGGTTGACCTTCCAGGATGTTTATCATCAACTCATTTGGTGGCATGTTAGATGTCTGCAAAACTCTACATTGAATACATTTGGAAGATTTTTGAATAAATGGTTAGCTAGACAACTTTGAAATGAAAAAGTCTTAAGCAGATGTTTTCATTCTCAAACAGGGAGACAGACTTATAGAAATTATGTTCACTCGCCATTAAGTAAGCCCCAAGAGACTGAGAGTAAGGGATGGCTTATGTCAGAGTACTGATGCAATATGTTTAAGTACATGCTTTGTGTTTACAACTCACTGATACGTGACTGTGATGCATATACATCTCTAATGTGAGTACTACATTCAACTACAGCGTGTTACGCTTTTACCTCTCACAGCATAAACTGATTTTGCTTTTGTTCCAAATTGTTCCCTTTCAGATGTGGAGGCCTCTACATCTATGGTCCAGGCCCTACAGAGGAGACACAGCTCAGCTCCTGACTATCTTTGGGTTTTGATCAACATCCAGGATCCTGGGTTCCCCCACATCTATCAGCAGTATGATTAGTCTAAGAATTGTGCATTTAAGATGAAACACCAAATAAACTCAGAAAGAAATGCATGAAAAATCCATTCTTCAAGGATGAAAATATAGGTAGTCCAAAACAGAGCCAAGAGTGTCCTGATATGAGTCCACTCTCTCTTTGTGTAGACAAGGTGATGAAACCTAAGGAAAGTTGAGTCTGACTAAGATTTAGTCATATTTCACTTGGGCTATCCCACCTGCATGACAAAAAAGTATTTCTTCCAAGAGCTCTCAGTGTTTCTAATGATAATAATAATAGCAACAACAACAACAATAACAAATAGTAACAATAATAATTGCTGTAAAACGAGTTAATCTTTTACGCCATGTAGTCTTCATAACAACCCAATGGGATAATTATCACTAGCCCTATTTTATAAATGAGGAAACTGGGGTTCAGACTAGTTAAGACACTTGAAACCGTTAAGGGCCTAAGCCAAGATTTAACACTGAAAGATCCCACAAAAGTCAGAATTAGGCTCTGCTCTGTGTTGTACTCCCAGACTGTAGGTCTGCTAAAATGTCTATTCCCTCTGGCTTTACACTTCTAGTTCTCAGTTTGTTATTCAGCAAAGAGAACTAGTGCATACTAGGCTTGATGAATAACAATGAACTGGGTTGGTAAATAGGATTCATCTGGAGTACTAACCCCAGTTCACTGGTTTCTGAGGTTGCCTCTGGGAGTAGAGAGAAAACTCCCAGGATCGATTAGTAATGCCTGGCACTTGGCAGCAGTATCTCCAGGGACTGAGGACAGGAGTGCTCATGTTGGCAATCCTGACAGTTGTTCCAGTCCAAACACCTTCATTTCCCTGACAGCTATTTAGTCAAATGTCTCTAGGAGCATAAACTTCCAGAAGGTAATTTCAAAATGTCAGTGTTTTGAAGCACAAAGAGCATAACCAATTGTTAACATGAAGGGAAAGGGAAGAGCAGTCACTCCCAGACATAATCACTACCCTCAGAGACCAGACTTACCTCAATACATGTGTATAATTTTAAAATCTGAACATCGACTCAGTAACTGAACCCCTAAGCTTACCTGGATGCTTTCATAACATGAAAAAAACTAAGGAAGTATTTAAGTATATGCTTAAGTACATGCTTTGTGCTTACAACTCACTGATACGTAACTGTGATGCATAGACATCTTAGAGTTTTCTAGAGCTGTCCTAACAAACTATCTTAAAGTGGTTGGCTTAAAATGGCAGACATGGACAGCCTAGTCTCACAGTTCTGGATAGAAGCCTGAGTGCCAGGATGTGCTGTCCCTGAAACCTGTAGGGGAGTCTGTCCTTCCTTTCCTTGCCCAGGCTTCGGGTGGTCTGCCAGCAATCTGCAGCTGCACAGTTCCACCATAACCTCCATCTACACACAGTGCTCTCCCTGTGTCTCTCAGTCTTCCACGGCTGTCTTCTTATAAGGACAATGGTCATAGTAAATCAGGGGCCCACACTACTGCCCTATGACTTTTAATTGACTGATCATTTCTGTCTGTCGTAGTCTTATCACCACACAGAGTCACATCTTGAGATATCAGAGATTAGAAATTAAACACACCTTTTTTTTTTTTTTTTTTTTTTTTTTTTTTGGTGGGGAGGCACAACATCCCCTACACCAAAGAATTGTCTGCTATGGGATCTTCAGCTAATGGGAACCAAGAATAATTTAGAGGCTGGTTGCAAACACATCACAACCCCAAATCTGGTATTGCTACATCAAGGAGGGACTTGTAAAAATATGGTAGGCTGAGCTAAGATGGGCTCTCCTCCACACACAAGCTTGTTAACAACAAAAACAAAAACAAAGAAAAAGACAATGTAGCCATACTTTGAAGAGAGAAGAGAGAAAAGACCATTTCCAGAGACTGTAAGAAGGAACTAGAAATCAGAATGGTAAAGAAATACCAGGTGCTAGAAGATAGATGGCAGACTTCCCACTCTGAAGGAGGGATGGGAGATGTAGCCTAGAGTATCTGGGAGGCTGTAACTGAAATGTCTGCACAAAGCCATTGATGTCTGCACTCTTAATGTAGAGAAGACTAGAAGGAAACCACCTACTCACTCAAGAAGCCATTAGAAAGCTTGTCAGCCCCTTGGACTCTGAGTGTAACAACTACAGACACACCCAAGTTTCTAGTGTGAAACTCCAGCCTTGATCACATAGATGTGTGAGTTCATGCTCTACACAAACTCAGATGGCTATACAACCCACCTGATGTGGAAATCCTAAGCCAAAAAGGTGGCAGAAAATTGTACTAGGACCAGTGGAATAAGCTAAAATAAAACATGTATCTACTCCGTGGTGGCTCATCCACAACACAGGTGCCCAAGGCTCCCCCAGAAACACCACCATTACACCCATAAGCAGGTGCTAACCCCCAAAGAGTGAGAACCCACAGAAAACTTTCTCTGCAACACCTCCTGGACTCACAAGTGGGGATCCTTAAGGCTTCCTTCCTTTCAGGTTTGGGTCTACAGTGAACCATCTGCCCACACAAAGAAGAGAACAGCACTCCACATGGGTTATGTCGCCCACCCACAGTCACCCTGAGACAGCAGGCCCCGTACTTGTCCCCAAGAAGGAAAAGATGATAGGTAATACTTTACCAGTAAGGACACAATCCCTGCTGCCCCCAGGATTCTACGATTCATGCTTCTGGTTTGGCAGAATCTTATTTTCTATGAACATAGCATGAATCAGCCAATGTACTTCAGTCAGCACCTGCAATTGCCTTTACCTCAGGATATTGGCTGTGGCTTTCCTTTCCTGGGGAAGAAGGTCTGGGTCTCGTAAGACTTCTTCTAGCAAATTTAGGACATTCATCTTTAGTTCGTTGTTGAGTTCAAAATCCTATAAAATAAAATGAATATTTTTAAATTTCAGTTTTGAAGGGTTTAGCTCTGTGGTGTTTGGCACCATTCTTCATGATAAGTCCTCTAGAAGCTAGGTATGAAGGTTAAAATGTAGGGACCCTGGAGTCCCCACCCCCACTTAACCCCAAAGATCCCCGCTGAAGTGGTTTGGGATGGAGCACCTTGCTGGTATTTTTGAAGAGCTCCCCAGGGGATGCAATGTGCAGCCCAAGGCTGAGAACCACAGCTCTTGGGACAGCGACTGAGACCCAACCAATTGCCCTGGTTCTGTCTCCCCCCCCCCCCCCCCCCCCCGCCTCCAACACCTACCCAAACAGCACACACGCACTCGCACTCACTATCCTAGACTTTAAAACTCCCTCAGCTCCTCAGAAAGATAAGTGCTTTCCTAGTCTGGAACACACTCTGCATGGGTGCATCTTTCAGGCCTCGGAGGTAATACACATTCTCCTTAATCTTCCTTAAATGACCCAGAAGGGTTGGGAGCTTTTCTTTTTTGCTCCCATGGAACATGTTACTTATAATTTATCATCATGCATTGTAAGGGCCAATTTAATTGCCTAGTTTTCCCTCGGACCATGAGTAAGATCAGCAGCTAAAACATAGCCATAACTAAAAACAAACAAACAAACAACAACAAAAAGAAACAAAAAGAAAAGAAAGAAATTTGTTGCGAGAATTACATCTGTTGTTTGGGTGATTACTGAATGAAGATATGCTAAGGCTATCAATATCTGTATCTATGTCTGTATCCATCCAGATATGCTAAAGGTTAAATAATAAATGATACATGATACTCATAAGCCAATGGGGCTATGTGAAACAAACACAGGAGTGAGATGGAAGGGGCACTCAATGGGCAGAGTTGCAACAATGTGAGCATCAAAGTAAATAATGAGAATGATGATAACCAAGTGAATAAAAAAGCCTGCAAACCCTTACTGAAACTAACAAAGATAAATTCATAAATAGATTAAACACACACACACACACACACACGTATGTACCTAAAAGGGCAGAAGGTAAAACTATTCTTTATAATAGAATTCCAAGTAATAAATGCAAAGGAATAAAACACCATTTTCAACCAAATCAGTAATAACTGATTCTGGCAAGGACCATGAATGGATGCTAAAATGGCTGGATAAATGCACTGAGGAATACAACTGAGAGTCTCAAGATCGCCCCAGAGATCAATTATTAACTACAAAGGGATAGTCTGGCAGATTTTGCCTTAACCAAGGGATCAATGTTGCCAACCCCAACTGTGGAACAGACTGATATTATGTGCCTACCAATGTAATGCTTAATATCTTACATCACGTCCTTAGTGTTGTATTTCTACCAAGATATATAGTATTACAAATACAAAATACTTGGTATTTCTACCAAAAATGCATAATCTCAATCTAATTGGGAGCAAGCACTGACTGTATTTTTCAAAACTGTTAGTGTTTTTAAAGATGAGGAAAAACTAAGGAACTATAGGAAAAACTAAGGAACTATTGCCCTTAAAAAGACATCAAAGTTCAATAGTTAAATGCAATGGGTGAACCTGAGTTAGACCTAGGGTCAAGGTGGAAATACTACCCAAAGGCAGAACTGTGACAACTGACAAAATTGAATTGGGACTTCACTAGTTGAGAGCATGTACCAATGTCAAAGTTTCCTGGATTTGATCATTTTGCTGTCAACTATGTGCAAGTCGTGACTTGGTCATGTGGACTGGCAGAGGTGGGATGGAGAAAGAGAATAAATGTAAACGTATCAGTGAACAGCGATTCTTAATGTGTTGCAGTGTACTTGATTTTTTTATGGCAATTTTTCTCTTGGTTTGAAATTGTTTAAGTTAAAATGTTGGGGAAAACTAAAAAGGTAGTGTTGTAGCTCTTGCCACAACTTTTATTAAACATATTCTTATGAAGCATCGCCAGGTATCATACTGGACCGTAACATATTCAGGGATGAGTGAGTTCCACATCTTGCATCCCAGGATCAGATTCTGATAGATGTACAGGCATAACTGTTTATGTTCCCTCATATAAAATTTGCCATAGATATTAAATACACTTATTATATACTTACATTATTATATTGACTTATTACAAGTTATTATAATTACATCTTAATGTGAAGAAAAGTAATTTTGAAACACTGATATTCTGAATTCTTTTAAAAGGTCGGAGAGAACATTGCTAATTGCAATGAATCAGATTTTTAAAAACAGTGTAATTTTACTACATTTTGTAATTAGGGGCAAAATGTCCATAATTTCACAAATTGTAGACAACACAAGAGTCTAACCTAATTTGAATTAAGTATTTTTGCATCTTAGTTTGATGGAAAACTGTATAATGTTATTCTCAATATTTCACTTTCATGCTGGGTGTGGTGGTGCATGCCTACAGTCTTGGAGACTTGGGAGGCTAAAGTAGGAGGATTACAAGTTCAAAGCCACCTCAGCAACTTAGCAAGGCCCTAAACAACTTAGTGAGACCATGTTTCAAAATAAAAAGATAAAAAGGACTGGGTATGTGGCGCTGTGGTTAAGCACTCCTGGGTTCAATTTCTGGTTACCCACCCCCCCCCAAAAAAAAAAAATTCACTTTCACAGTTTGACAATAGCATCAGAGAGTAAGAGACACCAGGGCACAAGGGCAACACAAATGTTATTATCTCTTATCAATCTTAGGACTTTAGAAAGATTACGGTTGAATATTTCCTCTGCTGCTGATACAGTTGATTAACACCAATTCTTTGATAGCTGAGAACGAAACATGAGAATTTTCTCTTCTGATGTCCCTTTCATTTTCACAGTTTTTTTTTTTTTTGCAATGTACAAAGTAACCTCCCATATACTTTTCCTAAAATTTCACCTACTTATTGTTCAAGAGCTTCTCACTGTTAATTTTTCTTTTAAAAGGTATGCAAGGAGAAGAGGGTAGTATTTTGCTTCTGGTCTTTTGTTTGTTCCCCTCTTTCATTTTACAGTAAAGGAAATGGTGTTTGTAAACAGTTAAGGATCTCACCTGCTTCAACCTGTATGTACTACCAAAGGGTTTCTCAGCCATCAGGAGTCTATTTCCTTAATGAATATTTGATATATATTAGTGAGACAACCGGGTCCTCATGTAGCTATGTCGAGTCTCTAATGATGCAAATAATCTGATTATCATAAACGGCACGATTAGTGTGAAGGACATCAGGTTACTGTTCAGGCCTTGCTGAGGGCTAATTAGTGGTTTAATCAACAAGAATCATTGAGCACCTGCTGTGCCCCACACTGGGCTCCACAGGGGGAATGCTTCTAGGGCCCCAGGATGGCAAGTGTGTCAAAGTGTGAAAGGTCTTGTTAAGGAAAGCAGATTGTAATTTTATTATTCTGAGCTCTGGGAAGACTGGCCTGAGAGAGACCTTTGAAAGAGTTAGTGCAATCAACTGAGACACCATTTGAAGCATGATGAACAGATTACAGTTGAATATTTCCTCTGCTGCTGATACAGTTGATTAACACCAATTCTTTGATAGCTGAGAACGAAACATGAGAATTTTCTCTTCTGATGTCCCTTTCATTTTCACAGTTTTTTTTTTTTTTTTTTTTGCAATGTACAAAGTAACCTCCCATATACTTTCAGTTCCTCCTCAGCAGAGCCAGTGTCAAACAAGACAGGAGCCATGATCTCACCCTCTCCCATAACAGGATCCATTGCAATTAGCCAAGATGTGACTCAGGAGCTCAAATTAGTTGAGTATAGAGAGATAGCAGAGGTGGGAGTAGAACACAGGTCTTCCATTGACTCCTGTCACCTGGGCTTCCCAAACTGCCATGTGCAGGCATTGCTGGGGGACCTGGCTAAAATGCAGATTCTGATGCAGCACGTTTGGAGCAAGGACTGAGATTCCCTGTTTCTTAGAAGCTTCCAGGTGGTGTTGATCCTCTGGTCCAGGGACCAATTCTGTGTAGTAAGACTTTATACTGACTTTGTTTATTATGAAAAAAGTCATGTGAAAAAAGAAAAAAAAATAGGGGTAAAAAATAGCTGAATCCTCTGATGTACTACACAGAATGTATAATTATTCTTTTTCACACAAATACATGGAAAATACAGAATCAGTCATTCAAAAGTCCCTCTTAAAAATATAGTAGCTGCTTCTCAATAAAAAAAGAATCTGAATCAGGAAAAAGACGCCTGCCCTATTTAAATTCAGAGATAAATTATTCATAATAAGTCTGGCTGACAGCCATTTCATAATTATCCAGAATGTAATTTTGTACGTTTCCCAGAGCCTGGTGTCAGGATAGCAGAACGCTTTTTCAGAGGCAGCGTCGATGCCCACAAGGTGGCGCTCGCGGGCCGGCGGTGCTCGCGGGAACCTGGGCACCTCTGGCGCCGCTGGCCGGGTGCGCAGCCAGCAGAGAGAGCGCAGCGGGAAGGAGGCCTGCACCAGGGGGCCCACTAAACTTCATGCACCAAGTGAACGAACCTGAGGCACCCAAGAACCCGGAGGTAGTCGCTGAAGTTATTACAGCAACAATTTAGTTTTGTTTTTATTTCCCAATTCATGAAACAATGGTGAAGAGACAGGATTGGAAAAAAGAAACTGCCCTGTTTTCAAAGGTGGAGAGCCCAGGAAATGTAAGCCGTCTACATTTCCAACTCTTATAAAAAGGATAGATAGCTCTCATCCTTTCAATGACAATTACTAAGTCAATAGACAAGGCTCTGGGGAAGAGGCAGAGACAAGTCCGGGTGGATGGGCAGATGAAGGAACCGTCAATCATGGAAACCAGGGGAACAGTCTTGAGGGGACACTATAACTATAGAGACGCCCTGGGGAACCTCAGGGGAGAGCGGGGCCTGGAAACTTTCTCTGGGAACTACTTGCAAACAGGCCACAGCTCCAGTAGAGAGCAGGACAAAACTGTCAAGGAAGGAAGGTGACACCCAGCAAATACTTAAGGGCAAATTATCAACC